ATCCATCTCTCCCTCCCCTTCCCTCCTTCCATCCCCCATCCTTCTCTCCCTCCATTCCACCATCTCTCCCTCCCTCCCTCCTTCCATCTCCCATCCTTCTGTCCTTCCAACCCAACATCTCTCCCTCCCTCCATCTCTCCTTACTTTCAATCCTCCCTCCATCCATCTCTCCATCCCTCCCTCCATCTCTCCTTATCTCCTCCATTCCACCATCTCTCCCTCCTTCCCTCCTCCCATCTCCCATCCTTCTCTCCTTCCATCCCTCCATCCCTCCCTTTCCCCACCCCTCTCCCCATCCCTCCCTCCCCCCCCGGCCCCCCCCAGCCCCACACACATTGAAGATCTCCACGTAGTGCCCGATCAGCTCCTCCACCACCCTCCCAGCTTTGTAATCCTGTCCGTCTGTCTGGAACAGCGTGGGCCCAAAGACAATGGCCAGGTTGTGTGTGTTCATCTGATTGTCCCCCGCGAAACGCTGCACCCTGCATGGGGGGGGAAGCAGGGGGGGCACCCCATTACCATCCCCACCCCTGTAGTCCAACCTCTCCCCCCCTCAAGACCCCTTTGGCCACATCTGTGTGTGTGCTGGGCAGCTTTGGGGATGGTTTGTCCCCAAATCTTTGTTTGGGGTGAAGCCAAACCACAACCCCCCCCCCCCTTGCACCCCCCCAGGACCCCCCCAGCAATGCAGGGAGATTGGGTTTGGGGTCTCCGTGCCCCCCAGAATCCCCTGAGAGATTAAGGTTTGGGGATCCCAACCACAACAAGACCCCCTGGTTAAAGGGTCTGATGATCCCGTGTCCTCCCAGGACCCCCTGGGTGATGGATTTGGGGATCCTACAGCACCTCAGGACCCCCAGAGATGGATTTTGGGACCCCATGTCCCCCCAGGACCCCCTGGGTGATGGGTCTGGGGACACTGCAGATCCTCAGGACCCCCAGAGATGGATTTGGGGAACCTGTGTCCCTCCAGTGCCCCCTGACAGATGGATTTGGGGATGCCACAGCCCCCCAAGACCCCATGGCAAATGTGTTTGGGGACCACATGTCTCCCCAGGACCCCCTGCTTGATGAGTCTGGGGACACTGCAGCCCCCCAGGACCCCCTACCAGATGGGTTTGGGCTCCCCACAGCACCCCTGGACACTCTGGGTGATGGATTTGGGGTCTCTGCGGCACCTCAGGACCCCCAGAGATGGATTTTGGGACCCTGTGTCCCCCCAGGAACCCCTGACAGATGGATTTGGGGACACTGAGCCTCTCAGGACCCCCAGAGATGGATGTGGGGATGCCACAGCCCCCCAAGACTCCATTGCAGATGGATTTGGGGACCCCATGCTCCCCCAGGAC